GCAGGTGGGGATTGGTGGGGCAGGTGGGGGATTGGTGGGGCAGGTAGGGGGTTGGTGGGGCAGGTGGGGGTTGGTGGGGCAGGTGTGGGATTGGTGGGGCAGGTAGGGGGTTGGTGGGGCAGGTAGAGGATTGGTGGGGCAGATGGGGGATCTGTGGGGCAGGTGGGGGATTGGTGTTGGGATGCCAGACAGTGTTTGGTTACCTAGGGCATTATATTTGTTAAAATGTCATGTTAGTGTCAGGTGTAAGACATAGTGATTTGACATTTCTGTTCTTTACAATGGGATTACCACATATACAAATGTGATTACCACAACAACTTTAGTAAGTATCTGCCACCATATGAAGTTATTATGATATTATTGACTATATTCCCTGTGCTGTACACCACTGTTCACTTACATGTGGAGTCTGTGAAACAACAAACAAACAGAACAAAACAAAACAGAAAGGCTCACAGAGACAGAGAACAAACTGGTGATTACCAGGGGCAGGGGCTGGTAATGAATAAAAAAGGTGAAGAGGTACACACTTCCAGCTATAAAATAAGTAAGTCATGGGCATTACATTGTAACCACCTCTCAGAAGTGAATTAAGTCCTCTGAGTATAGTCAGTGGTCTTAATCCACTGGGGAAAGGTACCAGTCTACCCGTGTGTGTTCACTTCTGCTTTGCTTGATCTGAGAAGAGATGGAGAGAGGTGGGGCGTCTGTGTCCACAGGGGCAGAGACGGGGGGGAGGGGCAGATGGTTCCAAGAGGAAACAGAGTTGGGAATATGGCCCTGGTGGGCCCATAGGTAGCCCCCACGTGCCCAGCACTCTGTCATTCAGAGCCATGGAGGCTCCTGGAGCCTGTGACGTCAGGGCATCCACCTGGGACACAGCTCACCAGTGGCAAGGCCTTGATGCTCAGCTCCCAGGACAGAGGCCAGCACCTGACAGCTGGCCCATCAGAGCCCAAAGACGCTAAGATTCTCTTCACCTCCCTTCACTCCTACAAGGGAAGAAGAAAGGAAACAAATAGTTAACGCCTATATGCATTTCGTGATATATATTATTTCATCTATTTCCTTAAAATCCATACCAGATAGATATTCATGATTCCATTTATATGGAAAGGCTAATTTGCTAAGGTCAGGACAATGGCTGGAGTTGGAACTGGGTTGGTTTGACTCTGTAGACCACGTTCATCATTAAATGAAGTTTAAATTGAGACCCTGAGCTTTTGGACCTGATGGGTAGAGAGGGGATGAGGCTGCAGGAAAGCGAGGCATGCTTTTCTCTGAGGGGCAGTTCTGACCCCTCTGTATCTGTGCGGCCTGGCCTCCCGCTCTGCCCGAGCTCTTGTGCGCGGAGAAGCCTCCAGGAAGCCAAGTGCTGAAGTGCACGGGGAGGGCAGCCTGCCTCCTTCTGCTTACTTAGCACTTGGCTGGCACTCCCAATCTTGTTTAACAGCTGACAAGTTGTTAGATCATAAGAGAATAAAGACTTCTGAGTTTCTCGGTTTGCTTCTTTGCAAAATGCATAGCATAGTCTTCTCTATGTGGACTTTGAAAACTCACTATTATCTGTATGGAGAACTTCAGATGCATTAGAACATTTCTTCAATGCGAATGGAAGCATTATGACCTTGTCCTCGCAGGGTTGCTCTTTCCCTTCAAGCACTAATTCATATGGGGGGCTTTCACCCCTTGAAGCTCAGCAGGCCACCAATTCTCATTTGCAGTGAGTGTCATTTAAAAGCCAAAAGCAAGCTGACTACAAACTTTTTAACATGTGCCTCTCATCTGCTCAGCAGAAATCTCTGCAACTTGTTAATAGTTCCCTTATTATTATTTTTTTTGGTAGTGAAACCAATTGAGGCCTTAAATCAGTACCATTCGTTCCATCGTGGGCCATCCGAGAAAACCATTTAGAGTTGTAAAAAGTCATCTGCTCCATCCCACACTTCCTGCCGCAGGGCGAGGCCCAGCGCTGATGGGGCAGACCTGTAACAGGACAGTACGGTGTGCTGAACAGGGCGTCTCCCAGGGGACCGCATAAACACCAGCTCTGGGAGCACAAGGATGGACTTTCAAAGCAAGGAGACCAGACACATAGCTCATAAAACACAACTCTCTTTACAGCTGGAGTCAGGTTTCTCCATTTGTTGCCGTAGCATTTATTTCACAGAAGCTCATGCCATTTAGGGTGAAAGACAAGGAAAATGTATAGAATGCTTCTAAAAGGAACCACAGGCTTGCAGAAAATGAGCTCCCGAGCTCCACACAGGGCCCCGCGGGCAGAGGATTCGGAGGGATGAGACCCACGAGAGGTTCTTTCTCATCCTTCTCAGTCTCCCCTTTCCAGACCGAGCTTCCTAGAAAGTACTTGTCGTTGGTCATTGACACGTGAGCATCAATTGAATCCTCACACACAGATATAATTTTGAGGAAAACAGAAACTGAAGTCTAGCAGTTCAAGCCCCTCACTTCACAGATGAGAGGAGTTACGTGGTAGCTCACCTTGCCTGTGGGCACGAGTTGGATGGATGCTGGTGACCCTGAAATCAGGGTTGGTGCTCTTCCTACCACGGCCAGCTGCTGACTTAGGTCCTCCAGAGGTTTTTACAATGTTGGCCTGAATAAGGGGTATTCGACCCGTGGCCAGTGGGCTGCATGTGGCCCAGGATGGGTATGAGTACAGCCCAGCACAAAATCGTAAATTTACTTAAACCTTTTTTTTTGCTCATCAGTTTTTGTTAGTGTTTGTGTATTCATTGTGTGGCTCAAGACAACTCTTCTTCATCCAGTGGGGCCTAGAGATGACTGGACATCCCTTACTAAGTCTTTTTACCTCTCTGAAAGGAATTTTAGGCATGAGCAAGAAACAAGGAAGAAGAATTTCCTGCAATGACTCTAAAGTCAGCAGCTATTTATAACTAAATCCAGTTCTACCTTGGAAAGTCATTGGGGAAATTCTTTTGACAGAGGAAGAGGTATTAGTCGGGTTCTGTAAAAATTTAACTCTGAGAAAACTATCAAGAGCTAAATTTGTATTTCCACACCCAGTACTACTACCATATTTATAGATGTAGGCTGAGGCCCTTTTTTTTTCCTGCTAAAAATTAACTTTGGCTTTTCTTTGAGGGACCTGCCTCCCTGGCACTCTTGGGATGGTATCTTCACAATCCCAACATTTGGAATCTTTTCCAGCTTTTTTAAAACAGTTCCCTCAATGATTAAAACTTTATCCCTGCTTCTTTTCACTGAAAAATCTCCTTTCCCCTTTTACAGCAGCTCAGGTTCTAAGAGTCGTTTCCTGAATTGTGGACGACCCAGAGAGCACCATGCCCTCTATTCCTTGGGGAATCATAGCTCTCAGTAGTTCTGGGAAACTCCCAGTCTTGCCCTTAAGGAGGGACTCCACCATGGGAGACCCGGCAGCTGCCCATTCTGGAGAATTCAAATGGAAGACCCAGCAGCCCCAGCACTCGCCGCTGCCTTGAATTTCCAGTGGGGAGACAGGAAGTGGGTGCTGCACTGTTGCTTCCTGGCCCAGGAAAGGGGATGCTTGGAAAGGTCATTTTGGCTTCTTAGACTACCCAAAGGCCAAACTAGGTTGTGCTGAACCAGCCCTTCATCTGTCGGTGCATCAGCCATCAGTCCAGTTCTATATCCACAGGTCGTAGGAGCAACCCTTTCTGATACAGGAGCTTCATGAGTTGAAAGGGACCTAGAGGTCCTCTAACCCAAAATGTGCTCCCTGGACCAGCAGCATTAGTCTTACCTGAGAGCTTGAGGCCCTGCCCCAGACCTAGAGAATCGGGAACTCTGGGGGTTCCTCTGTTTTAACAAGCCCACCAGTGATTCTCAAGCATGCTCAAGTTGGGGAATCACTACTCGGAGACCTTGAAGTAAGGAATTTGGTTTGTTTCATCGGTTCTCAACTGGGGACATTAGAATCATTTGGGGGGAGTTTTAAGACAATAGGGACATGGAGGTCCCATGCTCAGGAATTCTCATGTAGTTGATCTGAGGCTGGATTCTGGGACTTCAGCAGCTTCCAGAGCTCACAGCTTCTCCTTGCTTGAGAACACTGATCAAACCCAAGTCCTCATCTTCTAGAAGGAGACTGAAGCCCAGAGAGGAAAGCTGTGCACCTAGAGCCAGATGGCAGGGTTGGTTCATGGAGCTGAGCTGCGAGTAGAGCGCAGGTCTCTGGACTTCATGACCCATTTGGCTCTTGTCCTCATAAATATCTCAAACCCAAGGACTCCATTCACAATCTGTCCAGTCTCTGAGACGGGGCAGACTTTTATAAATGAGATTGGCAGAGCCTACAGGTCATGATGATTTCATTTGGGGTTAGTTTTGCTTTATGCTCATCCAGCTCTTGTAATTGTGCTCATAATGTCTTTCATGATAGAACTTTAACCACACCCCCAGGGCCCCTCTGCTCAGCCCTCCCAGCCTCCAACCTTGACTTGGCCACCCTGCCCCAAGTGCTGCGTTTCTTCTGAGACTTGGTATCCTATATTTTTAGCTGGAAGACTAACTCTGGTGAAATAAGCAACAGTGCCAGGTCCAAAGACATATTTAACACATTTCTGCTCAGAATGGGACAAGTCGAGCTAGTGGCTTTTAATGCTGACTATCAGAGGTCTTTACTAGAAAGGGAAATTGATGGCAAGAAATGGCAAAGCAAGTTTTAGAAGGACGATGATGATGACGATGATTATTATTATTACAAAACAAGACTTACTAAGACTCACTTCACAGTCAAACAAAAGAGTTCCATGTTCTTCGTTGTCACCCTTTCTGTCTTCTCCAGTGGAGGGTGTGCTGTACACACACGGGTGGAATTACTTAAGTTTACTGAGTTATGAGAAAGCAACGGTTCCGTACAGGCCAGCCCATCTCGGACATCTGAGGGCACCTCCAGCATGGCTTGCATCTGGCCTGGACAGACTCAACTTAAAAGGCCTCTGTCTTAAGGGAATTAATGTTTTGTCTTTCAGGGGGCAGCACAGGCACTTCCCCGACCACTTCCAGCACTGGCACACCATCCCCTTCAGCTTCTTCTCATCTTTTATCTCCATCCTGTTCTCCTCCGACCTTTCATCTGGCCCCCAACACTTTCAACGTGGGCTGTCGAGAGAGCCAGCTGTGTAACCTGAACCTCTCTGATTACCCACCCTGTGCCCGAAGCAACATGGCTGCCTTGCAGAGCTACCCGGGGCTGAGTGACAGTGGCTACAACAGGCTCCAGAGTGGCGCTGCTTCAGCCACTCAGCCCTCTGAAACCTTCATGCCTCAGAGGACTCCATCCCTGATCTCAGGAATACCAACTCCACCCTCGTTGCCTAGCAACAGCAAGATGGAAGCCTACGGGGGCCAGCTGGGGTCCTTCCCCACTTCCCAGTTTCAGTATGTCATGCAGGCAGGCAATGCAGCCTCCACCTCCTCATCACCACACATGTTCGGGGGCAGCCACATGCAGCAGAGCTCCTACAATGCCTTCTCTCTCCACAACCCTTACAATCTGTACGGATACAATTTCCCCACTTCCCCTAGGCTAGCTGCAAGCCCAGAGAAACTGAGCGCCTCTCAAAGCACTTTACTCTGTTCTTCGCCTTCCAATGGGGCCTTCGGAGAGAGGCAGTACCTGCCCACGGGGATGGAGCACAGCATGCATATGATCAGCCCTTCGCCCAATAACCAGCAGGCGGCTAACACCTGTGATGGCCGGCAGTACGGGGCGGTCCCAGGCTCCTCCTCCCAGATGTCCGTGCACATGGTTTAATGGCCAGTCCAGACACCGCGGAGCCTCCAGCAGCCAAGGCCCCGGAACCTCCATGGGCAGATCCTCCTCTTTGGGAGCCCAGTGGCTCTGAAACACAGGAACTGCGTATTTTTTTTTTTCTGGAGGAGGAAAGCATTACCCAAGAACAACAAGAGACATTTAAGCCACTGAAATATACTTGCGATGGAATCATCTCCGTCCGACTCAGTGGCTGTTCTCCTGTCTTCCCAAAGCTTAGTTTTATAAAAAGCATCGTCTACTCCAGAGTGGCCTTTGAAGAAACTGAATAATCATTTTATAATAATGTTAAGGGAGATGCTAGCATTTAGCAGCCATGAAAAGTTAGCCCCCCCCACATGCAGATTTACCCATACATACATGCACACATGCACACACGTTCACACACACACACACATGCACACTGACTCAGAACTGGGCGAACTCTGTGCAGGGAGGCCTGGAATGGGTGCTTTTACGGACAGTGTCTGTGTACAACTCTAGACTGACCGGGCCAGCAGCAGCTGCCCACTTCCCCGCCCCCGCAGCTTACCCAGTTTCTGGAATGAACTCTGTATCTGGAACTCCTTCCCATCTGTGAGGGCGGACAGACATCAGCACAACTGGACTTGGCTTCTTGAAGAAGATTGCTTTTAAACTTTGTCCTCACTAGCATTGATGTTCCAGTGGTTCTGTGAAAAGATGGAGAGAGAGAGAGAAAGAGAAAGAAGGCAAGAGAGAGGCGGAGAGCAAGACTGACAGAGGCGGTGTGAGCGATGTCGAGAGATTTAATTCACCAAGGAAATTTGGTTTTGGTTTGTTTTTCCCTGTCCCCCCTGCAGGTCATTGAAAGGATCACGGCGTTGTTGAGGAGTAAACATCTCTGAGACACTATGCGTGGTCAAGGGCAATGGTGAGAGGGACCGGGCAAGGAACGAGTCTTGCTCCCTCAGCTCTGACCATTGTGATCCAGGAGGGGGTGCACCACGTGGGAAGTGCTGATTCCAGAGCATATACCCTGGCAGGGAAGGGACGCTGGGGACAGGGTGTGAAGACAGAAGAGTGATAGGCCCCGGCACATGAAGCCAAGCACAGAGGTGACGAATAGAGGCCTGTCCTTCAGCGTGTCGCATCCAGACACCTGGCTGGTTCAGCTGCCCCAATGTCCCTGTGGCTGGAGAAATCCTGTCACGTTCCAGGGAATTGCAATGGGCCTTCTACATCCTTCCACCTGCCCTTAGATCTCCAGTTTTATCAAATAGTTCATTGCATTTTGATGTTTGGGTTTTTGCCTTCATCTCTCCCTCCCCCTACAAATCCTTTAATGATAAGAAAAGCAAGTGGCGTTTGGTGCAAGCTAAACTTTTTAAGTGGTGTGGAAATGCAAATAATACCAAGTAAAATAATACAGATATTATTAAGATTTTTGGTTTTGAGGTGTTGTAGATAAGTGTATTTATGTGCCTAGTGGGGAATTCAATATTATGAATATTAAAAAAGGGGGCAATAAAAAGGGTATGTAAAATATATATGAAGAAAAGGTGTATAAAAATTTGCCCTTATGCACGGAACTCTGTTTCTAAGTGCCAAGCACAGAAAGCCGCTGAATAAAATCTCTGCCATTGTTCCCTGCGTGTTTATTTGGTTGGTTGGTAACCCGAATGGCAGCCTGAGTGCGTGTCGGGCACAGTGCTTTCATTTCCACTGCTTTCCGTGATCTTTATTCAGGCCCCACGAAGGAAATATTGCCGTCCTCATTTTATGAGTAGTAACTGAGGTCCACAGATATTGAGCGAATTACTCTGAATCCACTCGTCAGGGAGGGAGGTAGAACTCGAAAGCAGGTCTGGTCCTTCTAGTGGACCGTTCACCTTCAGACCAGCTGGAGAAGCCCTCTTCTCGTGAGTGTCATACCTGCCTGCATCTTAGCCACGGGCTAGACATCACAGTACTATCTCGTCGAGTCGTGCCACCATTCTGTGAGATAGGTATTATGTTCATCATCATTTTACAGACCCAGAAATAAGCTTCAAAAGGTTAAGTTCTTGACCAAGGCTTTCAGGTATTAAGTGACCGAGTTGGCAATTTGACTGCAGTTAACACTGAGTCCTTCCTCTGGACCTTGGTCACTCGCATGAGGAACAATCGGGAAGGAAGATACATCCTAAGGGGTGGAGCCAAGCCTGACTCTGTGCCCAGATTTACTTCGTGTGTTTAATGATAACTGTACACCCTCTCCTTTGAATGTACCACCACAGCACAGGAAGAGTGATTTCGAGTTGCCTTGCACAAAGTGATGACTTCTAAGGACTAATAATGTGCCTACAGCTCTTCCACACGTAAGCACTTTCCCATATTATCTCACTTGAACCCTGCAGTAACCACGAGATGAGGACAGGGCAGGAAGTATTGTTTTGTAAATGGGACTCTAGGATTATGAAGACTGTGACATGTCTGTATTTAAGTAGGGCTGGGAAGCAGTAGAGCCGGGCCTTTAATCTCCTGTTCTTACCCCTGCTCTGGACTGTTTCCTGGTGGTCAGTTACATTGGGAGCCCACTGACCCATTTCACTAGGGCTTGATCTGGGGGACTTGACTTGCTGACACCCAGACTCATTCACTGGAAATGGAAATTGGTTTGGGGTAGCAAAACCTTAATTAACTATTGCTTTGGTTATAAAGAACTTCAAAAAGTGGCATGCTCTCAGTTCCATGAGCTACCAGACCTTTGCCAAGACAGTTGGGACAATGGCTGGTTGAGGACCTCCATGGTTGGTAGGCTGTCTGGGAATGATATGCCTCAAAACTTAGAAAGACTCTTCTATTTGGATTAAATCTTTTAATCAACCTTTGACTCTACAATGGTAGACCGAACATGTGAAGCTTACAGTTATTTCTTTCTGATTCAGCACATTGTACACCAAAACATCATTTATGGGTCTGCTTGTGGTTTTTGGTAATAGATCATCAAAATCAGTAGTAAACTTGACTTAGAAATCTCCATATTTTCATGTGCTAGTAAGAATAAGAATTTCAATCATTATTCAAGAGTATTTGGCACACAAAACTTACAGAATGACAATAATCCAAATCAGTTATATCTGAATTATGGCATATGTTTCTATCTGTAACTAAGAAGTAATAAAAATATTTATTTTAACACAAACTGGACAAAGAATGGTCAAGAGTACGCTCTACCCAATTAATTTTCTTAAATGGGATGGGAAAAATTCATTGTAATTGGTCCACTGGCTACACACAAAGGGCTATTAAATATTATTATATACCAAGACCTATAGAAGGACTATTCCTCTATAAGTTAAGGTGCTTCACCTTCACTGATGTTTCTTGAGGTAAAGCTGTCTTGTTCCCTTTGCATCCACAATGACTAGGAAAATTCCTGGCCTATTATTGAATCACAGCACGTGTTAATTATTATTGCTAAATTTATCAACCAAGCTGATTTTTCAAGGGTAGTGCAAAATGGTTGCGTGGCTGAATTATCTTTCACTCCAAGTTAATGGGGCCTTAGTTAACAAGAATGTATTGTTCTTCATGCTGTATTCTTTGACAGATTAACATAAGTTTTGTTGAGATACTACCTTGCCAGCATCCTTATACATAAGGGAGGGTTAGAACAAATACATGTGTTGTTTCTTTCTTGAAAGGGTTCACTTCATGGTCATGCACATGTGGGGGAAATGCTGGAAGATGCTCTCTGCAAATCCAGAAGGTGCTCTGTATGAGAGAGTGAGGGCAGGGATGTTGTCACTGGGGAGGCAGAACTTGGTTGAGCTTTGAAGCTTGCTCAGGATTTTTGTAGAGGTAAGGAATGACAGGCTAAGAGTGAAATCACATTTTAAAAGTCGATAAAATAAACTTAGAAGAAAAACAATAGCATCTCAACTCAATCCTTGTAAGTTACTAAAACGAGACATTCAGACACTTCTTGCAGCCTCTAGACTGACATTCTCTTCTATGTCATGGTTTATTGTTAGCGAGAGACTGGAGGGCTGAGGCCAACAGGCAGAGCTGCATGGCGATGCCCGCTGTTGGAGTCCTTGGTGAGCTGAGGACCCAGAGAGGCTCTGCTGTACCACTTTGCATTCAATCAGCTAATGGAGAGCAGTTCTCCGAAGGACACCCGGTCACAAAGATAAGAGTTTCCACAAAGCTTATCTGCTTACGATGGTCATTTAGAGACCTGATTTCCAGAAAGGGCCATGCCTGTGGCCAGTTTCTCTGATTCACTTGGTTCAACTCAATAAATATTTAACGCCTACTCTGCATCAAGCACCACTCTTGGATGAGGCTATAGAAGTGAACCATTAGACGTGTTCTTGCTCTTGAAAAGCTCCTGGTCTAGGGGGAGACTGATATGGAATATATTAGTCTCTCCTTATCTGTGGTTTTGCTTCTACAGTTTGTTATCCACAGTCAACCGAAGCCTGAAAATTTGAAGTGGAAAATTCTAGAAATGAACAATTCACAAGCTTTAAGTCATGTGGTGTTCTGAGTGGTGTGATAGAACCTCACGTTGTCCCATTCCATCTTGCCTGGGGCACAAGTCATCCTTCTGTTCAGTGTCACCATAGCACAGACATAACTCATGGGTGAGTCACTTAGTTACCAGATTGATCGTCATGGTATTGTCGTGCTGGTGTTCAAGTAATCCTCATTTCACTTCACAAGGATCCCCCAAATGGATGCTGGCAATTTGGCTGCCAAACAAAAGTTGTAAAGCGATCCTGTAAGTGAGAAGGTGAGAACAGCAAGACACTTTGAGACAGACCGCATCCACATAACTTTTATGACAGTATCTTGTTATAATTATTCTATTTTATTATCAGTTATTATTAATCTCTTACTGTGCCTACTTTATGTATTAAACTTTATAGGGGAAAAACATTGTACAGATGGTCCCCAACATAATTTTTCAACTTACATTTTTCAACTTTATGGTGCCTACTGCGAATTTTGATCTTTTCCTCAGTTATTGGGATGTGGTACAATATTTCCTCATGATGCTGGGCAGTGTGAGCTGCTACCAGACAACCATGAGATTATGAGGGTAAACAATTGATACTCCACAGTGTACTGCGTTGCCAGCATTTTTGGATATTGTGTTCTGAGCACATTTAAGGCAGACTGGATTAAACTATGACGTTTGGTGGGTTAGGTGTAGTAAACGAATTTTTAGCTTATGATGTTTTTAGCTTACGATATTTTTAACTTACGATGGTTTCATCTGGACATAACTTCATTGTAAGTTGTGGAGCATCTGTAGATACAGGATTTGGTACCATTCCTGGTTTCAGGCATCTACAAGGGGTCTTAGAATGTACCCTCCCTGGATAAGGGGGGACTACTGTACTCTAGCAAACAAGTAAATA